GGCAAAGTAATTAAATCATTCCTCGTTGTAAGATAAAGGACTGATTGGGTTAGATTGTACTACGTGAATATCTATAGATATGAGTGTAAATATTGGGAAAACGATCGTACGCGGTGTCGACCTTACGCCTGGAAATGCTTAATATACTAACGTATTGCAATTTGCTTTATTTTTATTGTGCAGAGTGTTTATTAAAATACAATTCATTTACTTTTACTACTTCACGGTTATCCATTATACAGCGTGGTGACTTGCGTAACGCATCATAGGGATTTCAATGTAAAATTCATAACATGCGATTATTGGCTCCCCAAATTATTTTAGAGCAAAAATGTAGTAAATATAGTAAAATTTTTTACGTCAATCAACCGTATTATTTTTCAATGTTTCCAAATTTTTCCTACAAAAAACTTTAATACATTTTTGCTCTACAATAATTTGGGGAGCCAATAATCGCACGTTATGAATTTTACATTGAAATCCCTATGATGCGTTACGCAAGTCACCACCCTGTATATTGAGTTTGATTTATATATAAATAAAGCTGATTATTTCTATCAATGCGAAGTATGTTTTGGCGAATGAAAGTTTCTTAACCCATTTGCTTTACAGGATTGTTCCACGTCAAATCCCACCGTTCACTAAAATATTATTCTATTGCAGCATAGAGGTACCTTAAATAAAATTAAATTTTTTGCAAATCAATACAGACGAGAGACAAACACAGACGGACGGACAAAAAGTACAAATGACCAAAATTTAGTCTGTTAATCCCCTGACCATTGTCTCTCTATTACGGAAACCAGAAATGGAAAATTCGAAACCGTTCCCGAGTTATCATATACACAGACGGACGGTCGGACAGAAAATCCAAAATCATGAACGAGCGAGGTCGCTCGTTAATAAGAAGCGTTTCATAATGTAATAAAGATTATTGAGTAGAGGCCAAAAGATTTTTGAGACATTTTTCGTTATAGGATCGCGAATTTTGGAACTTTTGTAACTAAAACACGTATATGCAGTAATCCGGATTAGAATTTATTATAAACGCTCTTAATTTGTAGTTTTTGCCTGAGAGTAATTAAATTTGTAAAGTTGATTGGGACTGTACTGTCTTCGGATTTATTCATTCGCATCAGACTTTGATCTGTGATCTGTAATAATCCGATTTGAGTGTTCTTAACATTCGATTAAGTTAATGCATCCACCTGGATTTGCTTGTATCGTCTGCCCTGTCATTTCCATTGCAGGAAGACATAATAGTTTTGGTTAATTGTGGACTTTATTTGCTTACCGTTCCGATGCAATCTCGGCAATTGCGAAATTTTGATTAGAATAGTATGCATTTTTGTGTAATATAACTCATACAGAGGGAGAATTGACGTTGGCACGACGACACCGCCCTAAGGGCTGCGCTCGATACCCCAGGAGCGTGCGCCCTTGAAAGCGGTGAGCCCCAGGCGCGTTTCGAAAAATCTAATACGAGAGAATTTCGTAGTAGGTCTTTTTTTTTCGTTTTGTGAACAATTTCGCGGAGGATACGGCTTCCAGATTTTCTTATGCATCTGAAAAGCTTGGAGCAAAACCAGCAACATAAAACAACACAATTAAAACAAGAAGGCACGCATGAATTGCTGACAATGTTCTGTTAGGGCAAGTTTTTAACGTTCCAAACTTCATTTACATAATTTCTCGCTGAACGCACTCCACGAAAGAATTAAACCAACATTTCCCTATCCACCTGAATAGAACGCTATAAAATATTATTTTACTCACAGTTGCAAGTTAGATACAGTTTACAGTTTGGCAGTTGAATGTACAGATCCGCTCAAAATTTGGTCCATTCTTAGATTAGTCAATTTATAGTTTCCCAGAACATTTTTTTAAGCCAAAAAAACTAACACGAGATTTTTTATAAATAAATAATAATAAAAATAAAAGTCGTGGCTGGTGCAGAATGGCAATAACCTTTACTAAAAAAAGAGATGAGAGTTGTGGTGGTTATAAAGGTGTTTTTCTTTGTAATTCTTTACCTCTGAAGGAAACCGAACAATACTTTAAAAAATTAATTTCTCTGCGTAACTACCATCTGCACTACACAATAAAGGGTGTCCCAACAAGAGCGCCGAATTTAATTTTAAAGAAAAGCACATTTATTTTTTGAATTAAATGTACGTTTTTATTTCAACATAAAGAAAAATAGTTCCGATTAAACATTAGGCAAATGGCCACCACGAAACCTCTGGCATATTCTTTTGTTGATGTTTTAAATAACCTTTTCGCATAAATGTGGCTCTATTTCACCAATAACGCGCCAGCCGTATTAATTAATTAAGCTGGTTTTTGACATTTGCTTTCTCTACTAATCAACCCACCATACATTTACAAAATAAAATCCATACCCGAACCCTGATTTGAACCAGGGACCCTTAGTGCCGAAGTTGGTCTTCCATGACACTGCGCCACACAGGCCGGCCTTCCTCATTAATATGTTCAACTGTTTCAGGCTTATTCGCATACATATTTTCCTTCAAATAGTCCCAGAGAAAAAATGTTGATCCTCAAAACGACAAATGACAGGGCCTGTAAACTTGGTCTGCAGTGTAACACCATTTTTCACTTGCCGTGTGGGAGGTTACACCGTCCTGTTGGAAAAACATTTCCCCATATCAATTACATCTCGAATTACATCCAACTCGGACCACAAAAACTACGTTAACTTTTCGCGATAGCGCGTACCATTAATAGTTAGCGCATTTCCAGCAGCATATACGGCCCAATCACTCCCCCGGCCCAAAATGTGCACTAAACAATTACTGGTGCCGGATTCATTGGTATGAGTATGGATTTTCAGCACCCAAAATTCACATTAATTTGATGATGTTCCAACACCCAATCAGCAAATTGGTTTGATTGACTTCTTGCACCAATTGAAACTATGTATACGCATGCAAATGCAGATATCAACGCGTTACATTTGGTTTTACAGTATATGAATATTTATATAACAACAAAGCAAAAACAACATGAATTCACTCCTAGTTTTGATATCGAGATGTTGTTGTCTATTAGATGGACCTAAAACTTTAAAATAGCAACAAAAATTGGTATCGACATAAAATAAAGTATTAAATTAAAAATATTAATTCATTTCCATCATCTACATACAAGAACAGAAAGATTTCTTTTTAATTTTTAAATAACCATTTTAAAGCTACTCGTTAATGATGAAAGAAATTACTCGGGACGGGCGGGACTGTTTCAAAAAAAGCTTCTAATGACCTTAATCGATACTTAATAATAAAAAGCTTTGGGGTGTTTATTATAGAAATAATGAAAAGCCACAAGCGTTATGGAGTGGATTCAAGGGGAATAAAGGAGGAAGAGGGAAACATGTATTTAAACTTAATTTATTAATAAAAAACAAAAAAAATACACAAAAACTTATGTATGGAGTATTGTTTTTTTTTTATTTTCTAAAACCTCGCCCCTTCTTTTATTATCATTGTATTTACAGTAGTGGCTAAATTACCGCCATCGCCACCCGTACCTTAATTTCGACACCTTATTAAACATTTATAATCCACCGATTGCAATCATAGAATATTTTATCAATTTTCGGGACGTGTTCGCCGGCGCGTACTTCAACTTCCAAATAACCTCAGGGGCGGACTGCGTAACTTTGGGCCAGGTGGAATTGCATAGGTTGCACCACAAAAACATTTTAAAGTACTCCCTTCTCGAAAATAAATTACCATACAGTTTTTTTTTAAATTGCAGCTGATAATTAAAAGTAACAAAATATACAATCCACACGAGGTGCGTCGCCTATCATTGTATTTCAGCACTTTCATGCTACGACAAAAAATGATAAATTCATTGTAAAACACTTCAATTAAAACAGAATTTTTTAACAACCTAACATCAACCCCAATTAGAGAAACGTGTTAATAATTTATTAATAGTGCAAGAAACTAAATACAGCACATACTTATAAATTTCCAACGGGTCATTATGACGTACAGGCCAGGTGGAAATCGCCACCCGCCCCCCGGGCCAGTGCCCCCTGGTTATACACTGCCTTTTCTTGAGCCCCGAAAAAAAAATGTCTCAGATCGATCCGGAAAAAAAATGTTCTTATAGAATGTAGCCTGTAGAATCCATAATATCAAACAGTTCCAAGATTGGGCTACTAGTTCAAAAGTTACAGCCCTTTGAATTTTTTTTCGAAATTGGTTTCTAGTCTATAACTTTTGATTGAGAAGTCTGATCGAAAAAGTACGAATTGATTTGGATTCTACGCACCCAAATTAATAAGAAAACGTGTTTTCCCAAGAAATTTTGGTGTAGTCGATTTTTGGTAAAAAAGGAAGGTTATACACTGCCTTTTTTTGAGCCCCGAAAAAAAATTGTCTCAGATCGATCCGGAAAAAATTTTTTTTTATGGAATGTGGCCTGTAGAATCCATAATTTCAAACAGTTCCAAGATTGGGCTACTAGTTCAAAAGTGACAGCCTTTTGAATTTTTTTTCGAAATTGGTTTCTAGCCTGAGTCTGGATGATCATTGTTGATAAAGACTTTAAAAGTGCCTCGTAAACTAATTGGTTGCTGATATCCGGAGCGGACGGTGCAACTAACCTAAGATTTTATTAGGAGAGATGTGGTAATAGCAAGCACAAGCAGAATTTGGTTATGGGCTTCCTACTTCCAAGGCGTTGCCAAATCCCGTGAGCAATAGAACCTTCCAGCATGATTTCAAGTAGATGATTAACTTAATCAACCTGGACAGAAATGGGCAAGTAGATTAGTTCCAATTAATCCGATCCTTATGCATGGGCGAAGAGGAAAGGTACCTAATCTATTTCAATAACAATCATTATTAAATAAACAATTAAGGACAGATTATATCAAACCGCAACAATAACTGCGAAACCAATATGAGATACTACCGCTATTAAAATTCGCGATCATTATAAATAGTAGCGAACATTTACTTCTGACTAAACCTGAATCATGCGTCTTGTTTTGGTCGCAATTTTTTTCTACATCAGTTTCGTTCCAGTTAAAGCAATTTTCAGACCGGCTGTAATAAGCAATAGGCGATTACCTAATGATTTCATGATCGGTTGTGCTACCTCGGCGTACCAAGTTGAAGGCGGTTGGAACGAAGATGGTAATTACGCCGGTGATTGATCTAAGTCTTGTTGGTAACGGATTTTTAGGCAAAGGTGAAAACATGTGGGATCGTTTCACCCACGCCCATCCAGAGAATATTTCCGACCAAAGCAATGGTGACATTGCATGCGACTCTTATCACAGGATAAAAGAGGATGTCGAGATGATTAAGGCCGTAGGCTTTCACCACTATCGGTTCTCAGTTTCGTGGAGCAGAATTCTTCCAAATGGTTTTGCAAATGTGGTCAACATGAAAGGGGTCGAGTATTATAATAGGCTCATCGACGAGCTCATCGCCAACGGCATAACTCCGATTATAACAATTTACCATTTTGATCTTCCTGAAGTATTGCAAGAGTTGGGAGGCTGGACCAATGGTTTGATTGTTGATTGGTTCGAAGACTACGCGCGAGTGGTTTATCGCAGTTTCGGTGATAGGGTCAAGTTGTGGATTACGATTAATGAACCAAAGCAGATATGCCATTATGGTTACGGTGATGGTATGCTGGCTCCTTTTTTAAAATCTTCGGGTATTGGCGAATACATTTGTGCACGCAATGTACTCCTTGCACATGCCAAAGCGTACCACTTGTACAAGAACGAGTTTGAGAGCATACAGAAAGGTAAAGTTAGCAATTTAAGACAATGGTAAATAAAAATTTTAGGAAGAGTTAGCCTAACGATCGAATGCACTTGGAAAGAGAGCGGTTCAAATTCAACAGCAGATAAGAAAGCCGCCGCTCGCGATCGACAGTTCGATGTAACTTATGTCCTAAGCCATTACGTTTCTAAATATTTTGTTTTAGTTTGGATTATACACACACCCCATTTATTCTTATCAAGGAGACTTTCCAGCTGTGGTTAAACATGCCGTAAAAGAACGCAGTATTTTGGAGGGATTTCCCCAGTCAAGACTTCCATTTCTTACCTCCAAGGAAGTTAATTACATTCGTGGCACCTATGACTTTTTCGGATTGAACTACTATACCACACAGTACGTAGTGGACGCACCTGCACCTCATATTGGGATGCCATCGATGGATAATGACGTCGGCGTTAGCAGGTACTCAGATCCGAAATGGTTCGTGGGCACTTTTGAATACTTTAAGGTAATACAGTTTTCCTTTAAAACGATTTTGTATGTTCTTTCCGCAGAGCGTTCCTTGGGGTTTCCGGAATCTACTGAATTACATCAAGTTAAACTATAGAAATCCCGAAATCTTTGTAACTGAAATCGGCATTCCCGTTGAGGAAAATTTCGCCAATTATGAAAATATTAAATTTCATAACGTAAGTTCGTTGAAAGTTTACGTTCTGTTAACATTTTTGGGTTACAGGATCATTTAAATGCCCTCTTAGACGCCGTGCAGATTGACAAAGTTAAAGTTAAAGCGTATACAGTTTGGTCCTTGATGGACAACTTTGAATGGGCGAAGGGATACACGTAAGTTAAACGAAAAATGATCAACTGTTTAATGAATAGTCATATTACAGTGTGAGGTTCGGAATGTACTACGTGGACTTTGAGGATCCTGAGCGCAAACGAACGCCAAAACTATCTTATCAGTTTTTTAAGAACCTTATCAAATCGAGAACGGTGACGAATAAACTCGATCAGCGCTTTGTGAAGCACTAAATACTTTAATTACAAGCCATAATTAGAAATTAGAAAACATTGAATTATACATATAAGGATTAAGGCGCATGGTTATTTTTCTTCCATAAGTAAAACATCTTCCCATTCAAACTTTTCGTCCATATCCTCAACGTTGTGGTCAATGAAGTTCCACTTTTCTCCCTCCCTTTGATAGGCGCACGACGCAAAAGAAATGGTACCTACATTATTCAACGCAAGTTTTTCCAATTCAGCTTCAAATCCGCCTGGAGGGCCTCCGTTGAAGAGTACCAGTGTTGTAGGTGGCAATAACTTCAAGTAACCGGTTAAATTGTTGTCAAGTTCAATCCTATGAATGGATCCCAAACCCTGGAAGGTGGCTGGATGAAGAGAGGCGATGTTGTTGGAATTCAAAGCTAAGTATTTGATATACTCAATTCCGTTAAAAGCACCCGGTTCTATGTCAGAAATTTGATTTGACTCTAGCTGGATCAGCTGTATAAACCTTCGTTTGGCAGCAGAGAAACTGTTCGCTGCAATTTTTTCTATTCGATTTTGAAAGAAGTTAAATATCATCAACGATTCCGGGCAACTAAATACTTCTGGTGATGGTAGATTTGTAAAGTTGTTATTCGGCATTACCAATTGAAACAGTCTTGAATTGTGCTTCAGAAGTTCGGGCTTTAAGAAGTTGAGCTTGTTCGCGCCCAAGAACAAGTCACTCAATCTTGGCAACGAAGAGAAGCACTCTTCGTGAAGTTCCTCAATTTGGTTGTTGTGAAGGCCCAAAGTATACAGTTTGGGGAGACCTACCAAACTAGCCTCATCCACCTTCTGAATCAAATTATCGTTTAGGGAGAGTGTCACCACTCTAGTCAGTCCTTCGAAACCTGAATCGGGTAGATCTTTAATTTTATTGTGATCCAAATCTAGTCTAAGACCAAGATCAGTGCAGTTAACAAAGGCACCACCATAACTAGAAATTTCGTTTTTAGAAAGGCTCAATATTGAATGGACTTGCAGACCTTCCCAAATGTCAGGGGTAACTGTCGTTAGTCGATTTTCGTTTAGGTACAAGTCGGTGCAAGTACAACCCGAAAAGGCTCCTTTCTCGATGTTTTCAATTTTATTGCCCGTTAGTATCACTACCTCGGCCATGACTTTTGATAACACTCCCGATTTTAGTGTGCAAAGATGATTGTGTCCCAAATCGAGTACTCCCGCTCGTATAAATAAACCACTCAGAGCAGATTCTTCAATTTGTTCAATTTTGTTGAACGAAAAGTTGACAAGATAACCGTCCATCGCGCGATCGCTTAGTAATCCCTGAGGCAAACAGAGGAGTTCGTTATGCGAAACATCTAAATGCGCCAAATCCTTCAACGGAGCAAAAATTTGAGATCCCAACGTTTTCAATTTGTTAAATTTCAAAATCAAGCATCGCAAGGCGACTAGATCTTGAAATACATTTTCGTCCAGTTCTTCGATTGCATTGTTCGGGAGCTCAAGGTTAGACAGTGCCCGCAAATTTTGAAATGCGTTTCTACTTATAGTTTTAATACAATTATTTTTCAGAACGAGACTTCCTAACCGCTCCAAACCCTTAAACACGTCATCTTGCACCTGCTCTAGGCTGTTATTCGAAAGGTTCAGACTGAACAACGACGAAAGGTAAAAAAATGGACTGTCACCGAATCCAGTGATTGTATTGTTGGTTATTTCGAGGTAACGTAGGTTTCGAATGTGAAAAAAACCGAAACGATCTTGAAGCTCTCCGATATTGCAGTTGTTTATAGTAATTTTGTCCAGTTCGGGATAATCCTTCTGGAAGACTGACCCTGACCATGTGAGGTTATTAGAGGTAACGACGATTGTGTTTACGTTTTCCTTCCCCTCCAGTTTATCCTGGATCTCGTCGAGCGATTGGCAGCCATCAAACGTTTCGGAGAGTTCACACATTTTGCGCCTAAAATAGAACTTTTATTAGAAAACCCATTTTTTTAAATACTATAATAGATGAAACGTGCGAACGACGATAGCGTATTTTCCATACATATTCTACAGTTTACCTTATTCCTAATGATGAGAAAGATTAAAAGCTCATAACCATTAAGACATCACACTTTCCTGCTTTTCAACTAAATTGCTCCAAAGGTGAGAAAGTGCGCATGAAGCCAAGGTGTTTTGTTGTTTTGCCGACGACATCGTGTGTTAAATGTGCTCAAATTTGGAAATAATTCCGTAGAGATACTATAACGACCTCTATATGATTTTCCAGTGCTGAGATTTCCTTCTCCATATGGACGAACGGACAAAATGCTAGTACTCTCTCATACCTATTTAAAAAAAAATGCGCCAAAAAGGATTGTTTTTCTTGTGTGTAACGCTTCAACCGAACAACGGCGTTACCAGGAACAAACTACACTAGTAAATGCAGAAACTATAACTTATAATGGTATTTCGCTCATAATATGGTAAATTTATTTCACCGTTACAACAGTGATTTTTGGAAATAATTCTATTCTATAATCTCAAAAACAAATAAGCGAGTTTAAAAAAGCGACAGATCACCTCGGTGTAACCTTCCGGTGTCAGTGGATTTGACCAATTTTCAATAGGCTTATTACTTGTGGCATATAGGTCAACTGTGCAAAGTTTGATCCAAATCGGTCCAAGCGTTTAAAGTTATCGTGTTCACGGACAGACGGACACCATCGATTCCCCTATAAAGCTTGCATCGCTTTGCTCTGCCACTTAATAGAATTCCTCATATTCTAAGAGTAAATAAAAAAAAATCTTCAAAATAAATACAGATTAATTGATCGAACCAATACGTTATGAACTGGTAGGTAATATCATTGAATTTATATGTAATATGTAGACAATACAATATGAAAAGCAAAGTTCAAAACCATGGAAAGTAAAAACGTGGATAAAGAAGAAATAAGAACCAGAAAAAGATAAGTCTTCCCACATGAACATCGTCAAAGTATCAAATACGGTGTCGAATAAAAGCTCTGTCAACGCAAAAGCATAGTACGAACTGAAGGGGGAAATTTAAATAAATGTTTAGATGAAACCATTGTATTGAGTTTAATTTTAGAATAAGTTCGGCCCATAATTCTCTAAAACATTCATAGATTCATATGTTGAGACATAATTTAAATCTACAAAAATTACTCATAACTAGATTTGACATTTTTTCTTAGTAATTACGTCATATAAAATGATGACGTACAATGGAAATTCTAATGGTATACTATATATAACTGTTAAATCGCAGCGGGTAAAGCGTGCGCATTTTGGCGGATTTACGTCGGATTCTATGTTATGCAAGTAATGAAATCAGAGCATATTTCAAGCTATAAAGTAGGCGACACTAGTGCGGCCGCCTAGTAACGACTTTTTGTCGCCCAGTAGAGTGTAAGGATACCAGTGGCAAAAACTTTTCAGCTATCTTTGAAAAGCAAATTGGTGGTGTGCCCGAGAGGTGTCCTAGTACGGCGACTGGCTCCCCCAAAAATGTTACACTGTAGTGGAACCCCCAGTATGACACACCGATGCCTGGTTTAGTGCCGCCTAGTGGAAATTCTAATCATTCGCGATTTAGTAAACATTAAAAGCAATACTAGAGTGCATCCTAAAATAGAATCTAAAAATATTCTATTTAACGACAAAGTAAGTTACATACCTTCCGAGTTTCGCTCTAGCTGATTTATAAAAGGAATTACTTCCAAACTGAAAGAAGCAGAAGTTGCATACCCATTGTTAGAAATTCTATAAGCAGCGAATGATTGGCCACTTGAAGCGCATGGATGAATAAGATACGTGCACCACTCAAATGAGACTTACAGATCAAAGTTAGCTCCCTAGTACACAGTCACAAATCAGGACTAGTTATTTTTCATTATTATTCAGTCTATTTTGGACAAAGACGAAGAGCTCCGCTTTCAAGCGATCAATATTTGAGTGTTTCGGGAACTCCGACATCTAGGGATGATGATGCGCACTATTTAGCTTGTTATCTACTATAAGATCAGTTATTGAATGGACAGATGGAACCCAGTTCTAGTTTTCTGACCATCAGTTACTAATATCGCAGATTAACTGAACTAGTTAATCTATGCTAATATTGTATCTATTGAAATTAGTAGCAAAATCGTCATTATTAGGTACAATGGAAAAGAAAGGAATAAAATGTTCGCATAAACGAAAATTCTAAATACGCCACTGCAACTTTGGTAAAAACACTTGAACCCTTTAAAGCAAGTTCCACGTTTTCGAGCATCGTTTCTGTTAATTTTCTCGACATTTTAATAGGTTTGAATGAGTAGGGTAAGCCCTTCTTTAACCGTAGGAATAGATAAAGTGATCACTTTAACCGTAAGGGTAGATACAGTGAAACAGATGAGTGTGCATTCCAATGACATCTGTCATTCTTATTTCAAATGCGTGATATATGACAATTCTGTTTCTATAGCAACAATCGCGACGGCAGAACCTAAGCTTGCTATTTTTGACGTCTTTATATTAAATTCAGAATTGTCAGAAGATTTACAATGATTTATATGCATTCTGATATAAAATAAAGTTTTGTATTATACACGACGATAAATGGAAACTAACCATCTCGTGAATGTTCTTGCACTATCCCTTTATCGTCTTGTATAATAAATAACTAAAAGTACAATATCACTGATTTGGTTAATTTCCTTTAAGCATTTAAAAAAATGTTAGTCTTGAACGTGTTTATATTATTTTGCCAATTGAGAGGCCACTTACACCACTGTAAAGAGAGCCAAAGTCGTCGTAAAAAAACTATAAAATCTTCGACAAGAAAACCTTTTTTGCACATTTATTTACTGATTCCTAGCCGCTCCGCTAGTATGTTACATCCATTCCTACATATTAAGGCGTTTAGTGTCATAATAACAAAAGTACGTTCAAAAACAATGACTATTAGTAAAAGCGCGATAAATTATATACAGATTAGTAAATTTACACTGTGCGATCAACAATACTGCTTTGTGTGTCTTTAGTTCAACCTTCAACCTTTCCGTTTCCCTAACATACAAACTGTCCACAAAAATGAAACGCAAATATTTTGCAACGTTCCGGAATTTTGGAGGGAATTTTTATGGTTTCCTACGCACTAATCCCTAACGGTTATTTCGGTATGATGACGGACTCTTGAAATCTATCGTCGAATTTCCATTTGCCGTTCTCAAGCCGGTAGCAGCAGTAGTTGAAGCTAATCATCTCAATGTCTTTCAATTTCAGGTCATTGGGATACAGACTGGAGACGTTGATCTCGATCTGGTTGCCACCGAGCTTCACCTGCCGACACGGCGATAGCTGGTGTAGAATTGCCTTATCGGAAATGTCGTTATTTTGCAGCTGGATGCAGCCGACATAGCTGAGATCCTTCCAGGCACCCGGAACGAATGCCTTAATCTTGTTTCCGTACAGTTGGAGGTCTTCTATGCGATCGATACCACCGAATGCGCCTGGGGTGATCTTGCTTATGTCGTTGTGGTGTAACGATAGCGTGAACAGGTACGTCTTTTCGTCCTCGTTGCTTGCCTGCCAAAAGGTGTTCGGTGCTAGATCAGTGAAGTTGTTGTAGCTTAAATTTAGATTGCGCAAGTTTTGCAGTCGGTTGAACGTCCCAGGTTTGATCGTGCTAAGGCCATTTTCTTCCAAGTGAAGGGTTTCCAAATTAGGCAAGCCCATAAATGCGTCCTTGGTAAGTATGCAGTCGTTTTTGTTTAAATAAAGGGTGTCCAGGTTGTTTAGTCCGAGAAATCCATCAGCGGGTAGCTCGGTTATACCGTTATCGTCGAGGTAGAGTTCCTTTAGGTTCTTTAAACTTTTGAATATTGTCGAGTAGTTTGAAAGTTTGTTCAACTCAAGATGTAATTCCGATTGAATTTCGCAGCGATGGAAAGCTTCCGGATGGACGTTGACTAGTCCGTTGTTTTCTAGATGAAGAAACTTAAAGTTGCTGCCGAACAACCCATTCTCTTCGATTGTGTCAATTTTGTTGTTCGACAAATCGAACTTTTCGATTAGAAGATTATGGAACATGTCGGTGGCGATCTTCGTTAATCGGTTGTGACTCATATCTAAGGTGCCGTACAAAACAGTTAAGGACTTGAAAGCGCCGACTTCGATTGTGTCGATTTGGTTATTGGAAAGATTGAGGGTGGCGCACGTTGTTGTCATCGCGAACTCTGTGAAGCAACCCGCTTGGATCTTGGTCAGTTGATTACCAGACAAATCCAGCTCGTTCATTCTCATACAACCTTTGAAACACTCGATGCCCAAGCTCTTAATATTGTTATTGTTCAAGTAAAGATACTTCAAATTCGTCAATCCTTCAAAGCAATTGTTTTTTATCTCTCCAATGTCATTTCCACTAATATACAGGGCGGTCAGAGCGTCAAATCCTTGAAACAAGCTCCTCTCTAAACTCGCAGATTTGGACGATTCGACTGTGATCTCTTCGGTTTTGGGTTTTGATGCAGCGCCAATCTTCTTCTTAAGATCGTCGAGAGATTTACCGGTAACTGTCGTCTTCGGCATTTTGGCCTACAACAATAAATACTTTAAGTATGAGTCAAACTGGGAAAGTGAAATTGTTCGAAACCTCGGCGATCTTCCAACACGTATCAATTAAGAATTGGCAAGAATGAGCCAAACATTCTTTAACAAATAACTTTTTTATTATCTGTATTAAATATGATCAACTTGGCTGGCATTCAAACAAACAAAAAAAAGAAGGTGAATCCCTGTAATCTATCTTACTCAAGGCAAGGAAGATGAAAGGCGGAGTTGTCTTGTGCCGGCTGAAACAAGTGCGCCGACGTAATGATTTGGAAAACGACGTCCGATGCATTGTAAAACTGTCAGATTCCTTTGGATTTTTGACTATGGACGTCGTAACGGTAAATTTCGTGTTTGTTTACAGAAAAATTAATAATAAGTTTATGTTGTGGAAATGTAATTTTCTTTCGTGGCATTAATCTTAGTAGATAACGTTTTGGAAACAATTTTCATAACACCCTAGAAACAATAGGGCATTCTCGAGTACTAAGATCAATAATCGACAGAGTACATCTCCACTTACGTTGTTGTTGTTTTCTATTTAATTTTAGAAACACCATTCGTTGGAAGATAGGTGACTTTCTGCTAGTGGCGCCGCGCCGCCAGATATATTTCAATAGGTATGGGCCAATCTGGGACCAATATGTTTTACGTTGGGCCATAATTCGCTAGACTGCATAAAATAAAATAATGTATGTGGTTGGTGGTAGTTCTTAGGTGTTGTATTTAACATTTTAGTTTATACTTAAACACTAACAGATATACTGTCCTTAAACTGTTTTGACGTTTCAGAAACTTGAATCAATATCAAGCATTAATTTATTGTTCGATAGACGGCTAGACGAACGCACCAGAAGAATTTCAATAGTAATGTTTTAATTTCCGATTATTGGGTTCCCTAATTATTGTAATTATCTTGCAGAGAAAAAAATTACGAATCCGTACATACCATTGTTTCTTATTTTATAAATTCAGAAACAATAAAAATTTAAAAATTAAAAACTGTGGCGTTTATAAATGGAATAATGAAATCCGCGCCTGCATTTGCCATTAGTTACTTTTTTTTATCTTAAACTACCATGGCACCACTGATTTTCTTAAAAGCGCTAGTTTTTAGTTATCCAATTTCTTGGTTTCAAAGTTTATAAGATTAAAGAAAAAATATCTTATAAGCAATCCCGTTTTCAATGTACCTACTACTGAGAAATGTGGAGCAGTCATATCTAGAATAAGGTTTGAATCCTTATTTATTATACAAGTCGATAAGGGGCTAGTCTCCCCCTTTATCGTCCTGTATAATACAAAACTTTATTTTATAGCAGAAGTTACGTCATTATAAAACGTATAAAAATTCTGAATTTAATTTAGACGTCAAAACTAGCGAGCTTAGGTTCTCCAGTCGTTTCCATGGAAACAATATTGTGTTTTGTTCTTAACTTCAGAACTGAAATTTTATTTCGCGCTCCGCGTCCCATTTCGATTATGCTAGACTGTGCAACAGAAATAAATCCCATCGAAGAAGAAACGAACTCAGATGTGGCAAGTGTTATGGCAAATGTGGCTGTGCTGTACACTGTACAGGGTGAATCGAATCCGTTGCTCACATTAGCTATAAGAAATTATTACTTACATTAAATTACTTTTAAGTGATTAACTTGAAAATTTATCGGATGAACTTGGCGTCTTATAGGACGTTGCAGGGGGCGTCTTATCAATTATTGTTCTTCTTGATCTGAAGTTTTTTTCTGTTCTAGTCCTAGTACTTTTCTTTACCTAATTAAAATACATTGCACAATAACTATAAAGAACTATGCGCTACGGAACTGGGTGCACTAACCTGCACACTATGTACAGAATGGTTCAAATTCGTAGTTTACAATTAGGATCTCTGCACTGGTGGGAGATACACGTAGTTTGAAATTTTTGAAAAATCTTTGAATGAGATATCACGGAAAAACTGAAAATGTCAATTTTTGTTTTCATTTTCCCTAGTTTAAACGGTCGGTAATGGACGATTGCCGTTAGCTCCTTGTGTGGGTATACTTTCTTATTTCTTATGAACCCTCTACTGGATTTTTACGGAATGGGATAATAATAATAATAATAAAATAGCTTGCCACACTCTATACTTTCGTATAATTTACAAGAAAAATTTCAAAATCAAATGTTTTACATCCATTTCTCATCAAAAGAACTGATTCTGTAAAAATCCAATATGACGTCCACGTAGCTTCCACGTCTAGCGTGTAGCAATTCAGATTCTCCGAAAAAAGTGCTCATAGAGGTTGTTAACGAGAACTGCCCATATCCGACTGTTTAAGCTAAGGAAAATGAAAACGAAATTTGACCTTTTCAGTTTTTCGGTGATATCTTAGCTATTTTCAACGATTGTTTACATTTCAATTAAATTTCAAATGCGTTTTCTTAGTCACAAATAGGGGCAACTTTGCCCCCATTAACGTACACTGTATCGCTCACGGTTATGGAGACCATAATCGTGAGCCACGAATTTGAACCATCTTGTACAAGATACAGGTTTAGGTAAATCATTTCCTCTATGAATCGATTGTCGCTAGTAGTGCTAGTGAGAATAGATACCGAATATTTACGTATAACATAGACTAATAATAATGACAGATGCCATTATAATTACTTGTTTAACTTTAATGTCTACCCTTTCCCCGAAACTTTATCCACTCATTTCATTTAAACCCATCAAAATGTCAATTTAATATCTTCTGTAAAATAAAATCAAGCAGTGGGCGCTACTTGCAGCCATACTGCTTCCAAGTGTTGTGTAGGTAAAAGCTTTGAATATAATTTTATATTCAAAGGTAAAAGTCAGTAACAGAATTCAAACATTACTACCTATTGTGAAAACAGAACCTATATTGCTTTTTGCTGTACAACAAAAATGACCTGGAACCTAGAAGTACAACACGCCAAGCAGATATCGTATAATAGTTGGACACAATTGATGGAATTTGGAATTTCTAAAGAAGTTTAGACCCACTAACAAGTTAATTATTTTGACTAAATCTGAAAGCCACAAACATATTTTTGCACAAACACATTGAATTATTTTAAACTAAATTTTAGTTTTTTTCTAAATGTAAACCACTAAAAATAGTGGGAAAGATGACTAAAAGTAAAAATATATCTATCAGCGGTTTTAATTAAACCGTGTGTGTGTATGGGATGTGTACCAACACAAACAATTTGATTAATTACTTAAATTTCAAAATTGATTTCCAGTATATTAGTATATATAACGTAAGGAATGTTCATTTGCACATAGTGTCTAGGTAAACAAGTTATTGACTTTTGCTCATTCAGAACCAAAAGTGTGATAAAATTGGAGAGATGTCAGTGGTCTACGACTCATAGATTTTTATTTGTTGTAACCAAGGAAAAAACTCTGACCCGGACGCTTATCAAAATAAATTTATTTGGATTTAATTTGATTTGCCAATGACCGATTCGATTTCCCCCATTTCCCCATAGTTGGGACCATTCCAAAATGAAACCAGTTATAAGAAAGTTGCTTCTATCCGAAAATAAGTTGAATGTTGAGCGCTCGATTTCATTTAAAGAAGATGTCCAGCATCACGAAAGTTCGAATGTTATTTTTGGAACATTTTCAATCACTTTCGACGAAAACCGAGTTTACAAGGGCGACAGTTTTCTAGAGGGATTTTTAAAACAAACTCAGTAAAAGACAAATCACTTCAGAGGAATCATCCAAAGCAAAAAATGCAAAGATCTTTTTGATCCACATCTAATGTTGGGCAACTCCTATAGTTTAGACTAATTGGTGTCCAAATTCCTATATAATTGGCTAATGAGTTAGCAATTATCTCGATGGGAGCTACTTTGACATTTTTCGTACCGGCCAGTTTCATATTACCAAACAAAAATCAAATCGTCAAATCAACAGATTTAGCCGTATCACTCGAAATAACTTTGAAAGCGAATAAAATTAAAATAGCTAATATTAGAAACTTGGAAAAGTTACAGTTTTTGAGCCAAATATTAATAAGTATATGTTTGTGTTATACACCAAAATAATTTGCATACATCGGCGTTTATTTCTATTTGCTCGTTACAATTATCTTGTGACAGCGCAATGAAAATCTACCCGGCCAATTGGCAAACGATTGAAAACTGGTTTAGCAATTAACGCGGTAATTAAGAAATAGGGATAGGCACTTACGATTGATCGAGATGAAGTTATCCGAATTCACTAAAAAAGTTGTATGAAGTGTTGGAAATCCGGACGAACGTCTTTTGGATACAGTGTCACATACCCAACAGTCCCACAACTCGGTTCTTACACATATATCTTACAATATATTTTTATACCGCCATATATGACACCCACGTGATCCCTTACGTAGGTGCCTATGATGTACGGGGACGTAGACGTTTAAAAATATGAGGGCATAAAAATCAACATTTAAACAGGTGTCTCAAAAGGAATTACATAAACGTCAAAATTGTGGTAATTTAAAAGATCATTCCCATTTTTTCGAATTCGGCATGTGTGCTTTTAAAAATAGTTTTAAGACGAGTATACATAAATCACGAAAGGTGGTTATATAGTGTAAAGAAATTAGTACTTGGGCCACCACCTCTTCGACATCTACACATCCACGGAGGCAAACATTCTAATACGGAAGCAAAAGTTAATTTTACATGTGGTTGACAAACGTTGCCTGCTAGTAGCTTCAAGAACAATAGTTGCCCTTTAATGACTCGCATGCCAGTGTTTGTTTATTGCCTTTAATTTAATATTTGGAACTATATAGTTCCAAATAGGTTTTTCAAACTGCAAGTTTTAAATCTTCTTGTCAACGTGCTTAATTAAAACTCTATTATACCTCAGCTTTTTCTCTCACTTGATTTTCGAGGCATGCCTATATCCTTGATTTTTTTTGCAAATCGGGTTGATGACTTTATTTTTATCCAGGTGGTCAGCTATTAACGACTGGAATTTTTTAGGAATCCACTACACTAGCGTCCGGTGCACGAATTTTAGGAAATCCAAAGTTTGTGAGGTGCTAGTGCAGTGTTAAAACTGTTGACCATCAGTCAACATGAGAAAGGAGATGTGTAGACATCAAAGATTAATCGTTTCAGGTAGAATTACAACCATCGGCAGGGGTGGCTTAGGGTTTCACATCATATAATTAACATTTTTGTATTTTTTGAAATGAAACAATTATACGAGTATATGAGTAATTTGTTTTGTGGATTTTATGTATCTGTTAAAAATTATTAAATTTTTGCCTCATACACCGTATTGACATATTTGGCGCTTGTAACTCTTCAATCATTATTATGTCACCTTGGGAAACAGCCATATTGTGCAAAACACAACAAGCTACAAGTATAGTTAATGCCTTCTCAAGTCTGCAGCGAAGTCCAATGTTTAGGCATGGACATTTTCTAACCCAAACCGTTCTACGAGGTTTCCCGTTGAGTATTGGGTTTCGTTGTACGCCCTTTGGCTGGAACTTGCGTTAATATGTAACGTTTTCAAGAATATCCATTATCGCCAAAAAGATATCCTCTTTCGAAATCCACCCACATTTTGTATTTTAAGTTTGGCAGTTATGTTTTAAGTAACATTTCCTGTTTCCGGATCGCTATGGTCATTGGTCATACTTCGGAAGGTTGATATTTTCAAATTCTTCCCAACAATCATATAATTTTCCATTGGATTTACCCTGAATATCCATAGGTGAAACGTTTTTCCCCAAAATCGTCATGAAACCCTCATTTCATGCCTACTTTATGTCAGGAAATTTTAGGTTCCAGACCAGACTACTTTTTCTGTCGTCTGTCACTTTACCGGCCGCACCTGTCACATTGCTAAATGTCTAAAATGACTCCTGCCATCACTGACAGATTGGCATTAGTCAAAAGTTCTAGGTATATGAAAATTGAAAATTAGAATAATGCTCCCGTCTTATTTGGACATGAATTAATTGGCACCGTTACCACTTGATTGATATTGCAAAAAAGTTAATGAAGAAACTAAGCCAAACCTGCATATTAAAAATATCCAAAAGGTCATATTAGCGCTAAATTTACCAAAAAATTAAGGTTGGGTGTCATAAATTTTGGCGTATAAATTACATAAAATTGTGGCTATTAAAAATATTAAACGAAAAAGAGATTGCGTACGAGGTAATTGATAGATGTAAAAATGTTTACGGCCCATAAAAATCGCACGCAGGTAAGTACGTACTTGTAATCGTCCAAAAGGAATCTGCGAAAATATTCTCAAGGATTGTAAAAGTTGCTTCTATTTTTGAATGGTTTTTTTCTCTCAGTATAATAAACTTAACGACGAATTCCACTCAATCGTATAAATAGAAATCATTTTTCAAACGCTTAGCTTTTCCTCTTGTTTTCCAACTTTACAAAAAGTGCAATGTACCTACTTCTGTTATTCGTAGGCAGCCGCGCGCGATTTGTTTAATTGAAACTTTTTTGGCTATTCACTCCCTAAGGATGCCAGAAATAATTAATGCGTTTCATTCATATGACCGAAAACTACGGTGTATTTATAGGGCCGATTGTTCGCAGAAAGAGAGCGAAAGTCGGTTAAATTTTACCAAATCGCTTGATTAATGTCGGTAACGACAGCTACAAATGGCTGCCACAGCCGTTTGTATTTTTCAAATTTTAGCAATCGTTTAAAGTTTGCTAATTGGCATATTTATAAAACATAAGCATATTTCCCCCATTGCTGTCTATAGAAACGCATCGTAATATTGTTCACAAAAATAACAAAATTTGAGTGACACACAGTCGCAGCCAGTATTTTTAAAGCGATGACACGGCACATTTTAACAAAAACAAAAACATCGAGATTACCAACATTTCCTGAGTTAATACTAAGAGCAAGGATGCAAGGAGCAGTATGACTAAACAAAGAGAATAGGTATATAGGATGTAGATGTAGGGAAAGATTAGGGAAACGTTTAAGGGAATAAAATCTTATTAGGTAGGTATATTATATTATATTTGCGGTTTTCTATACAACTCGTAGACCATTTCATCATACTATACGTGTTTTTTTTACTATATCTACCTACTCTCATTTTGTTTTTTCACAAAATATGGGAAAACGCCGCCGTCCACATGTTATTAATTATATTTTGACCATGTAATCGATTCACCAATCACCAACCAATTTTAGAATTGGATAACTATAGATCCAATCACGATAGGAATATCGGAATGGCCCAATAAATAAAAGAAACTAACCATACCATGGGTTTACAAGCACTTAAATCACAACAAAAGCTGCCCTATTATACTCCAACTAAGGAGGCCTCTAAAGATAATTATGGGTAAAATTATAACCACTGCAATTATCCATGTAACAGAGAGGGAAAATATAAATAAACTATAACTTCTAAGAGTATCGTTGAAGAAGTGCGGAGAATTCCAAAAAATCTATTAAAAAACCTATACAACTGAATAACGAAGGATCCTCGAGATGGTTTTTGGGCTGTAACTTTTTGAACCGATACGTATAGCCGAAAAACAATAGCGACCTTTCTTATATTCTTAAAAACATGTGTATCAATTTTCAAAACTACCGGAAGTTTCTAAACGAGGTTATCGTGTACTTGGACAGACGGACGGGCAGACAGACAGCAATACAAAATTATAAACGGTCTCTAGGATCACTATCCTGTGGACACCCTGCATACAACAAACGAATTCGATCTCTAACGCTGACAAAGTCAAACTTGTCGACAATCTTATTGTTTGACAAACACATAGGTACAAAAGAGCTAGGGTTTAGGTACCACAGATTACGTACCTATAGTACCATTGCATTTAAAAGGTCGACACATTATAATTTTGAATTACTATCTGTCTGTCCGTCCGTCCGTCTGCCTGTCTGTCCGTGCGCACGATAACTTTGTTTAGAAACGTGGGATTGCTTTGAAAATTGGTATACGTTTTCTTAAGGCTATAAGAAATGTCGCTATTTCAGTTATGTAGACTATTTGGCCAAAGTTAGTAGTCACACAATCATATCTAGGAAAAGTATTGATTATTCAGTGTGGTGGATTTATTGCTTAATGACATGTTTTTGTTTGTAAAAATTTGACTCGTAGTCAATACTTATACGTGTTTTTATCCTCTAAACCACAGTGATGGTCTGCATTTGCATCGACCGGTGAAAATCGTACTCCAACAGACGTATATTGTGTCTTTCAATTTAAATTGTTAAAATGAAGCACAACATTTTTTCCTTGCTATGTTTATGGATCCCGATCTTCTCCTCGTTAGAAATAATTAATGATGACACAAATGAAGTACGAATTTGTGTTAGCGATGTCATTCGTAGTGCTTTCACGGATAAATGGGCACTTTATGTTTTATTCGGCAGATATGGATCGAATCTTATACCACACAAGATTGAAAAGCCTCATGTACTTGTTGATATCAACATGGAGGTGAGACACACTTTCAAAGACGGCAGCAACTATGCAATTTTCACGGAGAATGCAACCGCGCTAATAAAGATTCTAAACCATCTTAATCTGACAGAAATCCTCTGGAATCGCGATGACTCTCCTCGTGGTAAGTTCCTCGTGATAACAGCTTCGGAGGATGTGGAATCGATATTTAAGGCGTTGTGGATGCACAAAATATTTCATGCCATCGTTCTTGTGGAACGATTGAAAAGGTTGTATACCAGCAACCCGTACGACCCAAAGAATTTATGTAAGTCGCTTGTAGTGAAATACACGGTGCAGGATTGCACACAAAATTTGGAGCTAAAACCATTTCAGTTGTATAAGACTTTTAATGGTTGTCCCATCTACTACCTCTATATGTACAATCATTCCACAGCAACGAATGCCATAGTTGCAGAAATAGACCGTGACTTAGAGAGTACGCTGAACACCAAAATGATCCGCGTCAATCTTCCAGATGCAAAGAGACTTCAACACGGTGAAGTTTGCCTATTCCATTATGTCATGCTTACCACAGGAAGTACATGGTTCGAAAAAAGTCATACGTTTTTTCTAGATGACTTCGTATGGGTCGTTCCGCTAGGTAAGCGACAGTCTTTTACACTAATCGACACTATTTTTGAATACAAACTCTGGATATTGATTTGCTTAACTTTCATGCTTTCATTGGCAACATGGTGGACCATTATTGTACTCTCTAAAGCTCCACAAACGTTCGCCAACTTCTTTAACGCTTTTCTAGATCTTTTTTCATTGACCACGTGCGGATTTCTTCATCGAGTGCCAAAGATCAGGGCACTAAAGACTGTACTCATCGCACA